CCAGGGAAGGACACCAGCCCCCTTCTAGTGCTTGAATATGACAAGTACAGATGAGTGTGATCACAGCCATCAGTCCTGGAAATCACCTCAGTCCTATCCTGTATATCTGCATCACATGACAAACGACTACATGGTTTTCATGGTCACACATCCGTAAGTGTTGGGATACTCAATGGCCGTCCATTTTCTTGTCGGCGATGGTGAATGTTATGCGTCATGCCAGAGTGTGAACAGAATTCGTCTCCTTGACTGAGCTGAGTGGCGTGTTGGATATGGATGACACGAATGAGGACTTTCTTTTGTGCTGCAGATCATTTGTAACATGATCCAAATATGAGATGCTCATGATTTATTCGGGTGAAACAATCATGGGTGGAGGAGTGTACGGTCCTTCCACCGATCTCACCTCATTTGATTGATGGGTGAGCTGTAGCCTATCCCTGCTGACTTTGCCCGGAGGCGGGCTGTACACCCTGTGTTGGTTTTGCCAGTCAATTTAGAGTCTTCAATGAACCCAAGTTTGTGTTCTGGGAGTGTAAGAGGAAGTCTCAGAACCCAGAGAAAACCTACACAGGCACGGAGGAGAAAATGTAAACTCTAGGAAGGGCAGAGTCAAGATTCGAACTTGGGACCTCTCGACTGTGAGGCGGATGTACGAAACCACTGTCCACTATGACGTATTTAACTTGCTATCCAAAAGTTGTGAAATATGATGGTTGGGATAACCTGGACACTGCGCTCGACTTTTGATAAGATTACGACTAAATTTATGCAAGGAAAACAGATCAGTCATACCGTGGTTCACTGACTCCCCGGTTTTGGATCAACTCTCTGACTGTTGGACTGGCGAACAGTTCACGGTATGTTTTGGAAGAAATCCATAAGATTTTGGAATGTGGGAAGAAACACGAGTACCCGGAGAAAACCCACTCAGGCACAGGGAGAACATGCAAAATCCACACAGGGAGGCCGGAACCGGAATCGAACCCTGCACCTCTGCACTGCGAGGTTGTCGCGCTAACCACTGGACCACTGGGCCACCCCTTTGTGTGCGCTATTTTTGGAGTGATATTGGGAAAATACAAAATGAGAGCAAATGGAATCTATTCGTCTTGGCCAGAAAATGAGACAGCGATTGGGTAGAGGAGAGACGAGGAAGCCCCGGAGGAAGGTTGCGCAGTTGAAAAGAGGTTAAAGAAATGATTTTAAAAATGCAGCCTCGGACAATGAAAAGTATCGTTTGTGACTCTCCGGGCAACGCGTCTGTGAGTGAGATGTGCATGAAGCATGAACTTTCCCAGCTACGCTCGAAAACGGAGCAGGACAAGGAGGAGAGCCGAGGGGGCCGCGTCGACCTCGTTCATGTCACTCGGCTGCTTTGCGCCTCAGCCGTTCCACTATTTGTTTACCCACGTCCTTCGCGCTGACACACCGGTGCCTCGCCACACAGTGCCTTTTTAAAACACAACAGAGCAGGCGGGAGCGTCAACACATCTGAGGGATGTCAAGCTCGTATCAGAGAGACACCGAAAAGACATGTTGGCAGGTACCGAGGGACTCCCTGATAGATCCACCTGCTCACCGACGATTTCCCATTGCCAACAATGAGATGGTGTTCTCCATGTTTATATCCAGCTTTTTCACAGCTTTTTCCTATTTGGGCTCACCGTTTCGTATGAGTCCTCTCCAAATGTTCCTGTTCCTGTCTTACTGAATACAGTCCCTCAGTTGTCGGTCTACCTTGTTGTCAAGTCCACAGTACTTCTGTCTTGCATCAAGGGTGTCTTTGTACTGTCTTCAAAACTCGGGTAAACTTGACAGATTCTCTGGTGTATTTGTTTCTCGTCTTTTCTAGTCATTGCAGATATCGATGGCAACATTTTAATTTGCGCAACATCGAGCTTCTCCTCTTCTACATTCTTGAGTGGTGCTGCTTCCAATCTTTACAACAGGTCCAACCAGGTGATAAACTTCACCTTCTCCGTCACATATCACCCGACCTCCAATACCAACCTCTAGTTGTATATTGTGGTGTTTATACACTTCAGCCCTAATTAAAGAGCTGGGTTTAAAAATAAACTACAGCAGAAGCATAGACTGTTTAACATGGCCGATTATGTTACGATCGAGTTGGGTCCATCATTAAAGAAACAAAATAATTGAAGATGCTGTTGACACGTGTGATTGAATGAATCGGCAGATCTGGAATGAAAAATCAATCTTTACACACCCCACGCCAAGATCATCCTTTAGAGATACCCGATAATCGGGCCTTTGTTCACTTTGTTCGAAAAGGTGCAAAATGCTCAAATTCGTCCCCGTGAACAGAATGTGTGGACTTTACTTGACCAAGAAACTAGTTTCACTTTCACGGGGATCTTGGTTTGACAGCCTAGTTTAAGATTATGTGGGGAATCCAATTATCATGACACGATTATCCGATTGGTCTGAAGTTTGGATGGGTGGTGCGAGGTTTAAAAGTCCAACACATACACAGGTGGGTGGCCCGGTGGTCCAGTGGTTAGCATGACAACCTCACAGTGCAGAGGTGCAGGGTTCGATTCCAGCTCCGGCCTCCCTGTGTGGATTTTGCATGTTCTCCCCGGGCCTGCGTGGGTTTTCTCCGGGTACTCCCACATTCCAAATAACATGCATGGCAGGCTGATTGAACACTCTAAATTGTCCCGAGGTGTGAGTGTGAGCGCGGATGGTTGTTCGTCTCTGTGTGCCCTGCGATTGGCTGGCAACCGGTTCAGGGTGTCCCCCGCCTACTGCCCAAAGATGGCTGGGATAGGCTCCAGCACCCCCCGCAACCCGTGTGAGGATAAAGCGGATCGTAAAATGGATGGATGGATGGACATAAACAAGGACGCCACAAACAAAAACAATGGTTGTTGACAGAAACCTCTGCAGGCTTCTATGGGACACCCTGAGAACTGAATGCACCCTGCCACAAAAGCTGCGTCACGCCTGACTCAGAGCACGGCCCATTGGAAAACATGGACTCAGCCGACGGTGGCCTGAAGCAGCACCATATTCAAGCCGCCCATTTCCCAACAACAAGCAAAGGTGACGACCATACTCACACTCTGTACCTATTTATATATTTTTTACGCCGTCATCATCCGCAATCGTTGAAAAAAGTTACAAGCATATTTGATCAAAGGATTAGAACGTGTTCCTTCCTGAGCACCGCAGAATCACAAAAGTGAGAGAATGACTGTAGAAAATATTTGAACAGGCGTAGAACCGTTCAAACGGGGCACGACAGAGAGTGTGTACAAAGGTGGTGACGGATGAGCACTTCGCCGTCAAAAGCTTTTAAATCTGCCATCAGCTGTGCGTGCAGCCTCCGAGACTCGTCCTCGAGGCCAAGGTGCGATCCTTTCCTTTGCGGTTGGCTGAGTCATGGACGGTTATCTCAAACCACCCCACCTGCACCCACGAGACATTAGCTTGGTGTTCCGTGGAATCCCAAACGTACTTGAAGCTTTGAGATGAGCCCGAAGTTGGATTAGGATCACTTGTCAAAAGAGACAATTGAAAGCTGTACTTCATATTTGTAGCTTAACTACCTTATGCCAGTATGAGTAGTGTCAGTTACTGGTGTCATATCGGTAATCGCCCATCACTAATTTGTATCAATCTGGTATTATATCGGCATTGAATCGAGCCAGTCACATGGCACGTAAAGAGACACGCAACCATCCGTACTCGCATTCACACCGTCGCTGAGTGGGAACCGAACCCACACTGCCTGTTATCAAGTCAGCCGAACGTACAAGTAAACCATCAGCGACGTGACCTCAAATTAGTATTCTCAATCATTTGCCCATAAGTGCCTGATATAATAACCGTATTTATAATCATTGTTAACGTGTTGATTGACTGCCACTCGTCCTTATCAATGACATGTCATGGCAATATCAACAAACGGTGGGATCATCTCAGTATCAGCCATCACACAATCTGGTATCATCTATCGCTTGTCATTATCTGGTAGAATATCAGTGTTGTACAACAAATTGGCATACGGTAATATGCTGGTGTCAAATCACTGGTAGGAAATCAGGGTGGCCAATCACAAGTTATTACTTATCAATCTGGTATGACATCTGTATTAAAAACTACGTGCATCATTTCAATATTGCCCATAAATCTTCCTGATCTAGATGATATTGGATCAGTATCACCCATGGCAACACTTATCTACCTGGTATCATACATATATTGACAATAGCTGGTATTTACTCAGTGTTACACATCTTACCTTTCTTACTTTTCTGGTATCATGTCAGTATCGCCGATAACTGGTATCAACTAATATCACCCATCATTTGTCCTTTTTTTTGTCTGGTATCGTATCAGAATTAACAAAAACTGGTATCATATCAATCTTGCCCACCACGTTGTCTGTATTTATCTGATGTGACATCAGTATTGACAAATCCTCATCCCTTTTCTGTCTGGAATGATATCAGTATTGCTAATCACTGGCACCATATCAGTAATACGAGTCCACATAATGCCTAATTTAGACTCCAAGTGCTATTTCAAATTTCCTCGCATCCCTGCCCACTGTCACGGGGTGGGCAAAGATAAGAGGGTGCGTTACCGTGGCAACCACAGCAATCAAAGGGGCCGTGAGACTCTCGCGCCTCCAAATGAGCTCCGACAACACAAAAACTGCACCGCCAGTGGACAAACGCCAGCCAAGCAAGCTCTGACCTTTCCATTTAGAACAAGAACAAAAGAGAAGGCATCGCCACTGTTTGCTGGCCTATTAGCTCTGCAGAGTGAGCTAATATTTAATAAAACGCCATTCCGGCAGCATCGTGGTGGGGGCTGTCGGGCCCAGAGGGGAGAACTTTACCAGATGTGGCGCACAGACTGGCATTTGTGCAATCGCATGCTGTGGGGAGGGGAAACGGTTCTGAAGGGAACATTCAGTCCTGGAAACTGTCGACGTCGGCCAGAGAGTCAAAACAATTCCAACTTACCAGAAAATCACTCGAATCCCCTTTTTTTCTCCTCCTCCTTCTCCTCCTCCTCCTCCTCGGATGTCCGACCGCTTGTTCTTTTTGTTTGTCTTCAATCTGTTTGCAGAAAGAAAAAAATGACAGTTCAGCACAGTGTGCATGTCTCAGTTGGTTTGTTTTGGCGAGGCTTTTTTCAGGTCGACCGTTCCTGTCTACAATTGATTCCGTATTTATCAATCAATTTTTCATAGCGTTTGAATTCTGAAATGTACCTTAAGCACCTCGATTTGGCTCAAAATTCTGCCACTGGCCTCTTAACTGGAACACATAAGAGGGAGCACATAGCTGTGATCACAGCTAACGGATAATTCGGTTTCTTTTTATATTTTGTTTTGCTGTTATTTTCCTTCTGAGCCTTCTTCTAACTCCGCTATTATTGGAATCGACCCATAAAGTGATTGACATCATTGCAATTTACTTGGAGCTGATGCTTATCGACTTCAGTCTGAGTTTGAACCAACGTCAGACGCTGCCTTTTCCCACTAATCTATGAGACACCGTCGCTAAAAGGCCTCTCGACATCCTGAGACTGAGCCGATGCTATCAGAAAAAAAAAAAGCAAGTCACCGCTGACCTCAGTGACCATCTGACACTTGGGCTTGGTTGCCATGGCGATTAAAAGAGGGACTAGAAATAACCTTTCCCAATGGCACGCCACCCGACAATCGCCACCTGGTAAGGGCAATCTCGAGACGGGAGCGCCGAAAATCATCAGCGGACAGGAAAATTCTTTAAGGGAGGCCAAGCAAAGACCTTCAACATAAAAACAACGACAAAGAATTCTGACTGATAATTTTTATGTACACGATGAGAAGAGGCTGCAGATACTTAAAAATGACATTGCGGCTCCCCTTGGATAAATTATGAAGTGTTTTAATGTCTTTCAGGGAAATGAATGAACAGCCCAGCGATAGTTCATATGTTTACAACTTTGCTTGAAAGAAAATGTTTTGCAGTATATCATTTTCTAACCACACTCTGTTAAGGTTCATTATATACAGCCACGGGTAAGCAACAAAACAAGAAAATTGCCAATTAAAATAATGTAAAGTGTCGTAGGGAAAGCCAATGCTGCTTGACACTTGGCTAAACGCGGGATTAATGGACAGTTTGCGCCAGCCTGACATAAAGAGAGACAAATTATGGGCAATTTAGCATCCTTAACAAGAGCTCTCAGAGAGCACAGACCTGCGCCAAGGCCTCAACGTTTGTCACCCAAACGATAGCTAAAAAAACTCGAGCAAAGCCAAATGAGAGGCGACATCACCACCGAAAAAAAAGAAGCATCTAAATAGGATTTATATCAATTCCTATGACATGAAACCCCCAAGAAAATCTCCGGTTTCCTCCGACATTCCAAAAACATGCATGGCAGGCTGATTGAACACTCTAAATTGTCCCGAGGTGTGAGTGTGAGCGCGGATGGTTGTTTGTCTCTGAGTGCCCTGCGATTGGCTGGCAACCGGTTCAGGGTGTCCCCCGCCTACTGCCCGTAGACAGCTGGGATAGGCTCCAGCGACCCTAGTGAGGATCTGGGCATCCATTGTAGCCAAAACTTCCCATGTCAATCGCACATGCAAGTGTTTAGGGCCAAAACGAAGATGAAAATGAAGACATCCGCCGCAGGTTAAATGGGCTCACCGCAGACTTTCTCTCTAATGAGCGCCTGTGTGGTTTCCTCTCTGGGCTGTGTTGTTTTCTTGATGTGCATGAGTATGAAAGGAGGCGGAGGCTCCACGGTTAAGCTGAGGGTTTAATTTTAGACTGGCTCTAACTGAGAGGCAGAATGCACCTTACGGACGATACGGCTTTCTTCTGACGAAGGCTAATTTACCAGCAGAGAGGGAGACAAGCGTTGCAGCCAGAACGCAATTGTCTCCCGCCGGGACTTCACAATAAGGGATTGAGATGTGCCCTGATGACGAAATAGAAATGTCAAAGAGCTTCCTTTATCCAACAGATGACATCTAACTGCTGTGTAAAGGTGGTGCAGAGTGCGCTATTTAAAAGGGATATTGTAGTTTAGGTCGCGCTGATGGTTTTCATCATGGAAAATTTGGCACAACATGGAGCCCGAAGAATTGGAAGTTATCGAAAATAAATCTATTGCTCCAATAATTTGAGGGAAGCCAGTGAGTGGAATAAAGCCATGTTTTGTTTGCAGACCATTGTGTCAAAAACTTGAGACACCAGACTTGGACAAACTGGCTGGGGAAGAGGCCAGTCAACAAGGAGTTTTGTTATTGGTGATATGGCATGACTCCTTCTTGGGTCTGGCTCTAAATCAGCTTTTAGATCAGGGATCGGCAATTTAAATGCTGGAGGAGTGTTCCCGGGGGGGCCACGTGGGATTTTTTAAAATTAGGCAGGGTAAGATTGTTACCCAAGGGTCCACTCAGTGTGTGAGCATGTGGCCTGTGGAACTCCAGTTCCCAATGCCTGCTCTACATAGTTAGCTAAAATGGTTTTAGTTTAGTTAGGTTCAAGTATTGCATGTATTTTATGAAACGCAAATTTAGAGCAAAAATCGCTACTGTTTAAAATATGTCTGTGGTCAACGAAATATTTTAACAATTACGAAGAAGACATCCAAGAAATAATACCCAAAGAGATTATATATTCTTTCGTTACTGTTTTATATGTTAGTTAGCGATCAAGAGTGAAGCACAAGAGAAAAAAAAGTCAGATTAAACATGATGTCTTCGAATTCTGGATTGACCCTTATAACGTTGAATATTTTTATGTGTTTTGGATTACGTCTGTGTTGTCGCTGGCCGTCGTTGACCCTTGTGGAGACTGCGTGTGCGTTTTGGAAAAAAGAATTGGGCATTGGGATTCTAATTCAAAATAGGCACTTAGAACCCCAATTGCAACTCCAGCATTATTTTACTGTCATTACACAGCGATTGACTTCTTTTTACATTTGCATTAATGGGAAATAAACATACGAGAGGCCGCATCAAACCTCAGAGGCTCCACTCTGTCTTTATTTGCCCGTTCGCTGATTCTCAAATGCAGCTCGAAACATGTGAGCACATGGTCCCAATACAACTGTGACAGGCTGTAAATTCCCCACACAAAAGATGTTGATGAGCAGCTGAACAACGATCAAGCTCACCTCAGCACAAAAAAAAAAAAAAAAAAAAAAAAAAAGATCAAAACTACGCTGCAAATTTTCCAAATTCCTCCCTTTGAAAGAGGGCAGCAAATGCACCACATTAACCCTGTTGCCAGTCCAATGACTGGCTCGGGTGATTGTAGCTTTGTGATCATCACCGCCGCCACCGGTAACTTGTAACTTTGCCCTGAGATGAATCAAAATAAATACATCACCTTTATCCCAGTCAATGTCATAAATCCCCAGAGCAGCCGGTGCACGAGAGGTCAACCGACATAATCCAGCGGCTCGTGTCGTCCCCGGCGCGACCGAGGCAACTGAGTGACAGGAGAGGTAGGAGAGCGGATTCCCTCTCAAACGTCGCCCCCCCCCTCTCCCCCACCGCCGATTACACTCCCAGCGGCCTCCCACCAGTCCCTTCCGCGCTCGCTCGTTCGTCCCTCCCCTGAGCCTGCCTCCCCTCACACAGTGGGATTAAAAACAACCTTTTGTCTCTCTACAATGGGGGGGTTAAACATTTCCTGGTATCACATGAAGTTACTGGGTGGGATTTTTTTTTCTTTTTTTTGTTACACTGAATATTCCGAAGGGTGGAACAATGGAGTAGTGGTTAGTGCGTTTGCCATTCGATTCTCATCTACGGCCTTCTTCTTCTCTTGGCTTTTGATGGCAAAGCAAATTATTTTTTAACAGATATAAAGCTACAAGAAATGCTCCATGAGCAACATTGACTCAAGATTCGCATTTATCATTCGCGCCAGTGACTGTGTCATTTTGTTTCTCATGATCGCAATACACACTTTCGACCACTTACCATGACACGTACTTTTTCTATACCGTACTTATGCATACGCGGTTTGAGTGTCTCATAATCGGCGTGACCAACCGGGATTAAACGCCTTATCTGTGTCTTCAACTCAAAAGCTTTGCTGATCTCAAGTCCAAAGCTATACAACAGTGCCATCTTCAGGGATCTGTTCATCATTACAGTGGTTTACAAACCTGATTTTCGCAGACAAGCTGGACGAGACCCGTTGAAAAACGCACATGACAAATATATTTCTTGGTGGTCGTAAACGGTTGGATTCCGGTGGATAAATATAAACGTCCGCGGCAGTGATTCAGTTCATGGATGAGGCCAAAAATATACCACAATACAATTTCAAAATCATTTAACAACACCATCCTATAAAATGCCATTTCGCAAAGCAAAAACATAGGCATGGCAAAGACTTCCTAATAAGGACAAGCACCATACAAAACGGATGGATGCAAAAATATTCCGAAAATTGACTTTGCAGAACATGAAAGCGGCAACTGATGACAGTCAGTGCAAATGTTAGAGATGTTCAAAAAGAGGGTGGAGAAGCTAGATTGATGACTTCCTTTCCCATACAGTGCAACACAATGTGTGTGTGTGGGGGGGGGCTCATCTCCAACCAACAGATGTCAGTGTGCAATCCGATCTCCAACAAAAAAAACAAACAAAAAAAAAGAGGGTGGACTCATTTATTGGCTATTCCAGCCCTATGTGACCGCAGCCCACTTTAAAAGAATAGATGCACTAAAAAGGCCTTTTGAGGTGTGTTAGCAATGGTTGCAGAGGCCAAACAATGGCGGAGGCCATCCCTTTGAAAGAGCCACTATACCGAGGGCCCAACCCTAAATCAAGCTCCTCGCGACAAAAGTGCAGAAAATGTAACATCATCTCGACTCACAGGAAACAGTTTCAACTCTGCAACATGGACCCAGGCCTGCTGCCAACTGCCGATATCAGGAAAGGGCAACTTTAGTCCTGGAGGGGTCTCCAGTTTATCAGTGCTGCTAATATAACAACAATACATCATGCGAGGACGCTGTTTTATGTTTGTGCCGCTCAGCAGAGCAATATATACAGAACACCGATTTCAGACTCTCCGAAACGACCCAGGCTAAACTCACCTCTTCGTCAAAATGTTTCACCTCAACCTAAACCTTGCCACTGATTAACTACTTCCCTGATGATTGTTCTGCCATCTTGTGGCATCTTAGGGTGTTCAGTCAATAGCAGAAGGTGAATTTGTGAATAGCATCCCAGCCACCCCCACCCCCGTCTCCCTCCCGCTGATTATAGACATGGCTTTGGCACTTTATACTTCCCCAACAGTTTCGAGAGCTGCACGTCCTCATCGGGGGAGGTCACCAAAAGCCGCAATTCTGCAAGATGGCCCAAATGAAAAGCATCTGCAGTTTTCGGTCTCGGCAAAAAAACGTCAGTCCATCGATTAGAGAAACGTATCGTAAATAAAGGCCTTCGTGAGCCCCGGAGATGATGGATCGTGGCGCGCTGTATGGATTATTAGTGCGAAATGAGTCAAAGGGCCATATCTCATTGCGAGAGCGGCGTTGACAAGCACGTCTAATGGACATTATTTCTGCACACTGACTCCGTTGACCGCCAGACACTGGGGCGATCCCTGCCGACGCATTGCTCCGTCAAACTCACACTGAGATGGGGGTGGGGGGGGGGACAAGTGCCCTCCCCCCGCTCTTTGTCCCGACTTCAATAAAAGGACAATTTTTCAATGGCTGTTTTCTAACAAGGGAAAGTTCACACCAAGGCCTGGAGGCTGAGCATTCCCTGCTAGAACTGAAAATTCACGAGGACACTCCAACCGAAACAAGGCCGAAGAAAAAGGATGACTACCGACCCAACATTGACTCAAATCTGTGAACAAACTTCTGGTCTCAGTTCTGAATACATCAAAGACATTCTGATTGAATATAAACCCAGTAGGGCTCGAAAGGTCTGCAGACTCAGGTCAGTTAATGGAGCCCAGAGTTCAAAGCAAACATGGTGAGGCGGCATTTAGCCGTTATGCTGCATGCAAATGTGATAAGCTACCAACAGAAGTGAACGCAGCACTGAGTGTAAACGCTTTTAAATGCATCTTAAAAACTTAAGCTTCTTTTCGTTACACTTCCTTTGATTAAGATCTTTCAAACATATTTAAATCAGTTTCACAGTACAGTCTTTTAGAAATTTCAAAAACCCGATTCTATTTCAAGACTTTAAATGTCTTCTGTTCTGTTAGTGTGTTGAATTGGTGTCAATCAACGTTCCTTTTTTTTTTTTTTTTCGGTAAGCTGCTTGAGATTTCTCTGCGGTTCTTCTGAATGCTGTTAGCCGTTGTGTTTGTAAATGCTTTTAGGTGGTTTTGTGAAGCACATTGAGTTGTCTTGTGTATGAAATGTGCTGTCTAAATAAAGCTGCTTTGCTTATGCAATTCAGAGCATTCAATCCAGCATGTTTTTGGAATGTGGGAGGAAACCGGAACACCCGGAGAAAACCCACGCAGGCGCAGGGAGAACATGCAAACTCCACACAGAAAGGCCGGAGCCTGGAATCGAACTCTCGACCTCGGCACTGTGAGGCGGATGTGCTCACCCGTCTTTCATCGTGCCGCCCACGAGCTTTTTTTTTTTTTTTTTTTTTTTTGAGCCCATCATAAAAGACGAGACGAAGGAATCAAGTTCCGAAAGATCCACACAGAAGAAATCGGATTCGCCTCAGAGACAAAGATGAAAAACAAAGTGGGCACGCACGATCTTGAGGGAATTTACATGAATTTACAGCAAGAGGGGACCGGCTCGACCTCCCCGCCCCACCTTTTTTTTTTTTTTTTCCCCCCAAACCAAACACGGCCCTTGAGCCCGCCCATCCACATACAAGCACGTACAAAGACGCGGCGGTAAACAATGGTGGCAAAGGCGGTTTCCATGGTGTCTGTGAGGCTCACTGACAGGGCTGGAGTGTTAACACGCTCGCCGACAACGGCGAGGATGATGGAGGGAAGACGAGAAGGATGGAGGAAGAGAAAGTGTGAGACCAACCCAAAAAAAAAAACCAAAAGAACAAGAGATTTACCACACAGGCAGCAGACCATCCCTTAAATTAAAGACCTGTGGTGTCGCCCGTATCGTATTTCTTTTTCACGATGAGAGCCTGACTCACGCACAATGGGCCGACTTTACACAAGGAGCAGCCCTCTCTCCTTTGCTTACAGCATCCGATTGTGCTTCACTCACGGGCCACAGCATTAGCATCATGTATCCAAATAGCCAAGAGACGGTAAATATGGTCAACCGAAAGCGATAAACCTCAAACGCTCCGTCAATGTAAACGCATCTAACAATATTTAAATTTTAAAAGTTAGCGACAGATAACTTGCTGCCTCAACAGGCTATTTAAACGTCATCACCTTCCCGTGAAGAAGCCAGCTGTGATTAACTTCGCCCCGACGGGTGTGTTACACAACTTTACTAGCTTACCTTTTAGAAGTCAGCTACAAAACAATTAACTTCTGCCCGAAAAAATGCTGTATGTCTCTTAAATGGGCTGCGTTACAAATCAAAACAAGAGCATCAATACCTGTACATACCCTGCATTTTTGCTAACATTGCTTTTTAGAAGTCAGTAACAATTAACTTCAGCCCGATTAGTTTGCAGCCTAAACGGGCTGCAGTAGAAGTCAAAAGTAAACAAAAGGTAACCTCGGCATCATTCAGATCTTTGCTCACTTACCTTTTGGAAGTCAGCTGTGATTAACTTTGGCCCGACTAGTTTGATGCCTAAACAGGCTGCAGTACAAATTGAAATTGAACAAAATGTAAAGTAACGCGGCAATACCTCTGCATCTCCCACAACTGCAACTTCACGTTTTAGGAATCAGTTTAAGGCTGCAACGAACAATTATTTTCATCATTTCAAAATCTGTTTTATTGATTAATCAATTGATTACATTTTTAATAAAACAATTTAATCAACACCCCGTTATACCAAAACATGTCATTTTGTCAAATTGACAGTGCAGAAAATACAAATCAATGATGATTCAGTTCCTGGTTTGTCAGAAAATTGGCAAAAATGATCAAATCATATTTTCCGATTTCAATTGATACTCGATTAATCATTGCACCTCTAAATCAGTTAACTTTGGCCCCAATACTTTGCTGCTGAAATGGGCTACGATAGAAATCCCAAGTAAATAAAAGGTGGCACGTGAACCTTTTGCATTACCGCAACTTTACGGATGGCCATGAAGCCAAAGGGCCACCCTTGTAGAATCGAAAAATGATGACAACAACGATGCGCCAACTGCGACTGCGCTGCATATAAGCGCCGCTCCCCGTGAAGAAGGCAGGACATGGAACGGATCCAAAGGATTTTGCGGGTGCATCAAAAGATGAAAAAGAGCCAGCGAGCAGGTCTCCTCCTTTACATGCTGTCATCAACCAGGAGCTCACCCTCCCTCCGGTCGGCACGCTGGCGCGACCATATGCGTCCAGCAGAAGGTGGAGGCGGGCGTGCACAGCACTCTGGCTTCCCCACGCAGTGCCTCATCCACCCACCCCCCCC